TAGGGATAATAGGGAAATTAAGGAAAGAATAAAACATAACAAGATATAAACTAGCTAGGGATAATAGGGGTATTAAGGAAAGAATAAACCATAACAAGATATATACTAGCTAGGGATAATAGGGGTATTGAGGAAAGAATAAAACATATCAAGATATATACTAGCTAGGGATAATAGGAGTATTAAGGAAAGAATAAAACATAACAAGATATATACTAACTTGGGATAATAGGGGTATTAAGGAAAGAATAAAACCTAACAAGATATATACTAGCCAGGGATAATAGAGGTATTAAGGAAAGAATAAAACCTAACAATATATATACTAACTAGGGATAATAGGGGTAATAAGGAAAGAATAAAACATAACAAGATATATACTAGCTAGGGATAATAGGGGTATTAAGGAAAGAATAAAACATAACAAGTTATATACTAACTAGGGATAATAGGAGTATTAAGGAAAGAATAAAACATAACAAGATATATACTAACTAGGGATAATAGGAGTATTAAGGAAAGAATAAAACATAACAAGTTATATACTAACTAGGGATAATAGGGGTATTAAGGAAAGAATAAAACATAACAAGATATATACTAACTAGGGATAATAGGGGTAATAAGGAAAGAATAAAACATAACAAGATATATACTAACTAGGGATAATAGGGGTATTAAGGAAAGAATAAAACATAACAAGATATATACGAACTAGGAATAATAGGGGTTATAAGGAAGAATAAAACATAACAAGATATATACTAACTAGGGATAATAGGGGTAATAAGGAAAGAATAAAACCTAACAAGATATATACTAACTAGGAATAATAGGGGTATTAAGGAAGAATAAAACCTAACAAGATATATACTAACTAGGGATAATAGGGGTAATAAGGAAAGAATAAAACCTAACAAGATATATACTAGCTAGGAATAATAGGGGTATTAAGGAAGAATAAAACCTAACAAGATATATACTAGCTAGGAATAATAGGGGTATTAAGGAAGAATAAAACATAACAAGATATATACTAACTAGGAATAATAGGAGGTATATAGGAAAGAATAAAACCTAACAAGATATATACTAACTAGGGATAATAGGGGTATTAAGGAAAGAATAAAACATAACAAGATATATACTAGCTAGGGATAATAGGGGTATTAAGGAAAGAATAAAACATAACAAGATATATACTAACTAGGGATAATAAGGGTATTTAGGAACGAATAAAACATAACAAGATATATACTAGCTAGGGATAATAGGGGTATTAAGGAAAGAATAAAACATAACAACATATATACTAGCTAGGGATAATAGGAGTATTAAGGAAAGAATAAAACATAACAAGATATATACTAGCTAGGGATGATAGGGGTATTAAGGAAAGAATAAAACCTAACAAGATATATATACTAACTTGGGATAATAGGGGTATTAAGGAAAGAATAAAACCTAACAAGATATATACTAACTAGGAATAATAGGAGTATTAAGGAAAGAATAAAACGTAACAAGATATATACTAACTAGGAATAATAGGTTTATAAAGGAAAGAATAAAACATAACAAGATATATACTAACTAGGGATAATAGGGGTATTAAGGAAAGAATAAAAGCTAACAAGATATATACTAACTAGGGATAATAGGAGTATTAGGGAAAGAATAAAACATAACAAGATATATACTAACTAGGGATAATAGGAGTATTAAGGAAAGAATAAAACATAGCAAGATATATACTAGCTAGGAATAATAGGGGTATTAATGAAAGAATAAAACCTAACAAGATATATACTAGCTAGGGATAATAGGGGTATTAAGGAAAGAATAAATTCTAACAAGATATATACTAGCTAGGAATAATAGGGGTATTAAGGAAAGAATAAAACATAACAAGATATATACTAGCTAGGGATAATAGGAGTATTAAGGAAAGAATAAAAGCTAACAAGATATATACTAGCTAGGGATAATAGGGGTATTAATGAAAGAATAAAAGCTAACAAGATATATACTAACTAGGGATAATAGGGGTATTAAGGAAAGAATAAAACATAACAAGTTATATACTAACTAGGGATAATAGGAGTATTAAGGAAAGAATAAAACCTAACAAGATATATACTAGCTAGGGATAATAGGAGTATTAAGGAAAGAATAAAACATAACAAGATATATACTAACTTTTGATAATAGAGGT